CTGACTCTGTAAACTGCTTAGAGAGGGCTGAAAGCCCTATGAAGCGGTATATAAGTCTAACTGCTATTGCTATTGCTAAAACCCCATCTAGCTATTTCCCCCCATCCCTTTGTTGTGCGGCAACCCTGAAGCCTCCAAGGTGGCCTCAAACAAAGTTCACTTTAGGGTTGGCACTATGTCTTTTATCTGCACGCACAATCCACATTTAGTTTAGTTTAGTTTGGTTTTCTTTTCTTTATTGTCATTCTTTATTATCATTGCACATTGTACAAAATTAAATGCCATCTTCAGCGTACATTATAACTATAAAAATAAAAACACAACAACACATCCTTCACATGCTATATAATTAAAACTGAAAACCCGATATTCCATTAGTATTGCACTGTACCCTAGAATTCAATATAGTTACTGTCCTGGGATAAAAGCTGTTTTTCAGCCTATTTGTCCTGGTTTTTATTATCCTGTACCGTCTGCCAGATGGTAATAGTTTAAAAAAAGGGGGTGCCCAGGATGAGATGGATCTTTTAAGAATGTTTTGAACTTTCTTAAGGCAATGGGAGCTATAAAGCTCTTCCAAAGAGGGGAGAGGGCAACCCATGATCCTCTGGGCAATGATGTTTCAGGTTAAATTGTCTATCTGTTGCTTGTCCTGCAGACTATGAGCATGGTTTCTGGCTTTGCCCCTCTCATCACAGCTGGGATTTTTGGGGCCACCCTCTCTTCGGCTTTGGCGTGCCTCGTCTCAGCCCCCAAAGTTTTCCAGGTGAGATGCATTACATATTGATCAGTCAAAGAAGACAATAAATCTTTCCCAACTTCATCCGGTGTCATGTTGCCATTTTAGCCAAAGAACCCTAAAGCTGGAAGGGTCAAATGGGACCACCAAGTTCCTAACATCCTCAATTACCCACCTTTGTGTTGGGGGACTGGGAGGTGTAGTCCCACCTTTTGGGAGACATGAGCTTGAAGAAGATGGACACAACTTTCTGGGCACTGCAGTCAGAGTTTGCCAGAGTGAAGGTGAAAATGTTCACCTCTTGGTGTATAGAAGAACTGCTACCATGTTTTCCCGAAATTAAGACATGATCTTATTTTCTTTTGACCCCCGAAATAAGCGCTTGGCCTTATTTTCGGGGAGGTCTTATTATTTTTGAGGTGCAGGAGGCGGTGAGCGTGGTCACCTGATGGCTGCTGTTGTGTTGCAATATTTTCAGGGAGGGCTTATTTTTTGGGAGGGCTTATTTTACTGCATGTGCTCAAAAGCCTAATTGGGCTTATTATCTGGGGTGGGGAGACTTATTTTCAGGGAAACAGGGTACGATGATTACCTCTAAGCAGGGATCTTGGGAACAGCACATAAGTGATTTGCCAGGATTCTTTCCCCCAGCAGCATTAGACTTCCGAGATTCACCCATTCAAATGCTAACCCCGGTTGACCTTACTTAGCTTCTGAGATCAGTCATGGTCAACTGGCTGTTGCTTTCTGAGGTGGCTTCTCAGAAGAACAAAAGCAACAAACAAACATACAAACAAACAAAGAGCTGCCTGGAAATTGACAATCTGAATTTTGGCATAGGAATACTGACCGAATTGACACAGGACCATCAAGGTGGGGAAAAAACAGCAGGGAAAGAATAATTTCAGTTAGAGGAACATGCAGAGCCAAATTAGATTATAGATCAGCTATTCTAGGAAGAGTTTGCTCTGCTTCAGGGCTTTGTAAATAAATGTTTCTAGAATGGGTATCTCCCTTAGGAAGCTTAATGTTGCCGTCTGGGCTATTAGTTGACAGCCAGCAATGAAAGGTGGGTTGAGGGCCTCCAAAAAGGCAATTAAAACATTCCCCCCACCTCTGCTGATGTTGTTCGTTTGCTTTTTGCTTTACTGACTGGAAGATTTATATCCTGTCTGCTAATAGAATATAGCAATATAGAAAAACAGAGACCAGCCAATAGGCATTAAGACAATACTATTGTCTGTATATACTCTCCCTGCCTCCCTCCCACCCTCCCTCCCTCCCTCCGTATGTATGTATGTATGTATGTATGTATGTATGTATGTATGTATATGCATATGCATATAGTATGTGTATGTGTATGTGTATGTGTATGTGTATGTGTATGTGTATGTGTATGTATATGTATATGTATATGTATATGTATATGTATATGTATATGTATATGTATATGTATATGTATATGTATATGTATGGCTCTGNCTGACTCTGAAGGCAGCTGATAACTGGCATACGGCCCTGGCCCCCTCTCTGCCCCCGACACAGAGCCCTTACCAGAGCCCTCCCCAGACTCCAGGACTGGCCCATGTTCCTCCCCAATCTCTTCACTGTCCTAGTCTGCTGCCAGCTCCACTGGCCACTGGAGGGCCACAACACTAGCTGATGTGAAAGCACAAAGCTGCAGAGAGCTTCATAAAAGTGTTAGGGTTACAATCTTCACTGGAAAAAACGGAATGGAAAAGAGGTAAGGAATTAACCTTGATGGTTCTTCCTAGGTTCTTGTGTTGTCCGTGATGCCTCTGGGAGCGTTAATGATACTGTCCTCGCTGGTTCCATGGGTTGTGAAGGCATTGCTTGCGGCTACGGCTGGAACTTCACAGAATGTGCTCAGAGCCAAAGCTGTCGATATGGGCTCATCAATTATTATCAGGTATAGAATTATAAATTGTAGAGTGTGACGGTTGGAAGGAGACCATTTAGTAGTTCAACTCCATTCTGAGGACTGGGATCTACTGCTTGTAGGAGAAGAGCAGGCAGAATTGGGGGGAGGAGTTAAATGTACCAACAGCTTAGAGTCCTTACTTTGTCACAAACAATCTAACTCCAACCTCTCCTGAATTCCTTTGACCTTTATCTGGCACCAATTTATGGCACAACTGGTAAAAGCCAACTCTGAATGTTCCCACAGTTTTCACCCAATTAAAAAGTAAACGTTTCCCCTTTCCCTCCCCAAGTCACTGGTCACGCTGTCCAATCCAGGTGCTGGCTGGCTGATTGGTTCCTTCGCTCCTCCTCTGGCCAGCCACCTGTGAGAATGTCCTTGGTTCCCAAAGGAAAGCTTTATTGTTTTGACGCCGAGGTGGCGCAGTGGTTAAATTCAGCACTGCAGGCTACTTCAGCTGACTGCAGTTCTGCAGTTCGGCTGTTCAAATCTCACC